ATATACATATATTATATATAGCTTTATATATATAGTAATTATATTTTACAAAAAGTCAACTTTTCATTTATTATATATTTATAGAATTTTTTCATTTGCTTAAATGCTTTATTAATATTCCAATTGAAAACACTATAGTGCAACTGTATGCATCTACACACATGCACATAGATACATATATGCATATACATATATACATATACTAGTATGTACACATTAAATATACATGGTATATGTATATATGTATTATATACTAGTACATATACTAGTGTCTATTCTAACTACTTAATTAAATTTCTGTTTTTCTTTGTCTCCCCCCATTCCCATTTTATTTATTTTTGCATTATTTCCTCTTGCAGCTGTTTTTACAGCTGTTTCGATGGCAGTCAGCAATTCACTTGCTGTTGTTGTTGTATTTCGAGTATTTGTGTTTGCGCGTCGTCAGCTTGAAAATTAAAAATGTGCAATAAATTGCAACAACAACAAACATAAATAATAATATATACAAAAAAGAAGTATTCCAATTACGAGACATCAGCGTAATACAAAACGAGAGGGAGAGAGAGAGTGTGTGTGAGTGAGAGAGAGTGACAGAGGCATGTGCTGAACTTGGTCAGCAAACTGATAACTGAGCTTACACATGTGCATGCACACACACACACACACAGAGACACATGCGTATGATTACTTCTGCATGTGTATAACAGTTATGCTCATATAACAGCTTCGATTGCCACTGCAAACTTCTGGCAAATCCATATGCAAATTTTCACATAACACTGCGAAATTTCAGCGAAAGACAAGGAGCCTGAGGAGGAGGGAGGGGGTTGAGGGGGTTGATTCTTACAAATGCTGCATTAGACAGCGGCACAAAACAAGCGAGCGAAGAGGAGGGGAGATGAAATGAGGAGATGCCAAGACAAGAGTAATGCAATCTGTCTCTCTCACTCTCTCTGTCTTTGTCTCTCTCTCTTCTCTTGTACATTGAACTTTTGACTGCCCGCTCCGCCCCGTTGGCAGCAGCAGCTGGCCTGCATTATGGCCTTACCCGAATCACGACTCCCGTTACCCGTTACCCGTTTCCCGATTCCCATGGCCTGCCGCTCGCACATTTCGATTATATTTTTGTGCGATTTATGGCCGCGTTTTAGTTTGAAATTAACTGCTCTGAACACAATCGAAAAGGCAGACCATAAAAAATATGAAGAAGTAAATGTGAAAGAGAGGCAGGGAAAACAACGCAGCTGCAAGGCAGACAGAGGCGTGCCCACAGTGGGGGCGGCAGCAGTGGGGTATTTCATATCTAATCTGGGTCGTAAAAACATGTTTCATGCGTTCCTAGGCATGCCAAGCAAACCCAACCCTCGCACTTTACCCCTCCCCTAGTCACTCACCGCCACCCTCATAGACGCAAAGACTTTGATAAACCTCGTGCGAATTATAAAACGGGTTAACTCTATTTTTTTTATATTTAACATTATTTCTTTACTCCTTTTGCTTTTGCCTCAGCTATTGACACTATTATTCAAAAGCCTTATCTAATCAAGTAACAAGGTTTATAATAGAATATAAATAGAATGAAGGGTCGGGAAACATGGCTGGAAGTCACTTGAATTACGCTCAATTCAGAGATACTCTACAAAAGTGAAGAGAGTGTATTAAAAGTTGATGAAATTATGACAAATCATCTAGATCACTATTGTTTATAATAGATCGTATATCAGATAGATCATATAGATCGTATATGGAGTAAATCATGATGTTTTATCAGATATATCATATAAATCGAATAACAGATATATCATATAGACCATATATGAAGTAGATTATAATGTGCTATCTGATATATCATATAGATCATATAGCAAATAAATCATATAGATCGTATATGAAGTAGATGAACATGTTTTTCCAGATATATCATATAGATTATACAGCAGATAGATCGTATATAAGGTAGATCATGATCATGATATTTTACTAGAGCTCTAATCTACATCGTATATCTGATATATTATATAGACCGTATATGAAGTAGATTATAATGTGCTGTCCGATATATCATATAGAGCATATAGCAAATAGGTCATAAATACCCTATATGAAGTAGATTATAATATGCTATCTGATATATCATACAGATTATTTAACAGATAGATCGTATATAAAGATCATGATATTTTACCAGATCTATCATAAAGGTCGTATAGCAGATATATCATATATATCTATATATAGATATATCGTATATGAAACTGAGATACTATACAAGATAGATCGTAGAGCTGATACATCATATGGCTCGCATATCAAGTAGATCATATAGATGTTATACTAAATAGATCATATAGGTCGTTTACCACACCTCGAAGACTCCATATATCAATGTATATCTGTAAGTTCTCGATTAGTTACAACTTTGAGTACAACAAATCATAAAACTTCCATCAACCATGGGACTACAAGTTCCAAATATAGGTTGTGATATAACCAACATAGTATTTCAGTTATATGCACAGATAATGTCATTTAGTTTAGCCTCGTACTGCACTATCTAAAGAAAAGTCTATTATCTGAAGCACTTTACTATCTAAAGAAAAGTCAATTATAAACAGAAATTATCTTAAGCACTTTATACGGACAACGTGTGACATTGATAGAAGAAATTAGAATGGGAATGAGAATGAGACTGCGAATGGGAATGCGATTGGGGATTAGAAATGACGCAGACAGATCGCAGACGAAAGAGTCGGACACTGCAGTTGAGGTTAAAACGTCAACGCTGATTAGGAACGGTTCGCTATATATGTAAATGTATATATTGAAATATTAATAATAATAGAATGGCAATGATTGATTCATAGATCTCGTTTCGAGATAACGCTTATCGAAAGCAAACAAAGACGAAAACGAAACGAACGAACGGATTACAAATAATATAATTTATGAAGTGCTGCGAGTGTTAATCAATCGATTGTCGGATGGAATTTTCATGAAATATGATTATATAATATGATATTGTAACTGAGTCAACTGATTGCACGATTGGTATTATTCCAATTTCAGTTCGAGTATGGCTCATATCTTGATGCCTACTAGGTATATGTGTGTATCGATTATCGATTATTCAATAACAATACGTAATATAACAATAGATACATTTGATATTCGAATATCAGATATACATACATGCATAGTAATCAATAGATAGCTTAAATTCTAATCTTATCAATGTTAATCGACTATTCGATAACAAGCGACAAAACTAGTCGTAAGTCTTTGACCTGATCAACTATCCAGGAATACACAAATGAATTGATTGCTGAGCAATAACTCATCAACTTTATGAGCTTAAATTTATAGAATATTAAATAAACAGAAACTAAAACGAAACCGAATGCCTTACATATATGTATGTACATATGTATATGTAGTCCACACGGTATTCCTGATGATCTAAATTGCGGTCATATATCATAAGCAAGAACAACAACAACAACAGCAACTAAAACGACAGCCACGATTGATGACAAAGTCTGTTAATTACTACAATTTGTGGGCTGGTCATACCCCAAATACGACACACGCACACTCACTCACACTCACACCGACTCACGCGCACATGCATTGCTATTTATAGGCCTCGATAAAACATTCAATGGAACCAAAAACTTATCGAGAAATTGTAATTGCTGTGGGGCCCCATCAAAAATGTGAAAATGTTTGGGAACTTGAACAAATGTTGGGCGCAGTTAATAGATATCGCAATTGTTATTGTTATTGTTACTGTTATTGTTGTTGTTGTGATTGTTGTCAGCTGTCATGACAAACTGTAAACTAGCAAAAGAAAGAGAGGCAAGAAGAAGCAAAAACAAAAAACAAAAAAACAATTGTAATTGTACAACTATTAGAGTCCAGTGCATGAGTCAGTGGAACACGCAATCCTAAACAGAAAATAATGCAAAAATAGCAAAGCTTGAACAAAGATCACAACCATAGCTTGGCTGACTATAGTATATACCCTGTAGACATTAATTAGCTCTGCATTCATATGAGAAAATGTGATATATGATCAAATTCGATTGAAACCGATATTTATCGATTTATTGGGTTTGAAATATCTTTGAATAACAATTTGGCACTCGCACTTATATCAATATTACTATTACTATGCATACAGGCACATCGATATTTATCGATAGCCAGCTTTTTGATATTATATAACAACTGAAATAATATTGAACTGCACTTCAATATATATAAATGTAAGTGCATGACTATTGAAATAGCTGATCTCACTTAATGCATTACAAGTGGCTTTCGTTTGCTTTGGGAATCGATTAATATCGATGAACACAACATATGTCATTTAAGGAAACATGCTCGTAAATATGCTCGTTCGCTTGATGAATTATAATAGTTAATTATAATATTTGAATGATAATATTTGAAATTTTCCTTATCGATGTTCACTGCAAAAATGTATCGATAGGCAAAGAAATGATGCTTGTGCTATTTTCCATGCGAAAAACTACAATTGAGTTTGCTTTTATAAATTCGATTGTTGAATTTGATAGAACAGCGGCTCTTGGGCATTCGATATTTATCGATATTAAGCGCAAATTGCATGAAATCGAATATAAACTGTAGTACTTGCATATCAATGTTTCTCTATTTATGTACAAGAGTAATATGCATAGGTGTATGTGTACATATCTGCATTTATGTATATTTGGGACACTCGAAATGATCGACGAGTCGCACATTTCCCATTTGAATTGTTTCTATGCCCGTCTCTTTAGCATCTGTATCTGCATCCGTCTGTCTATCTATTTCAAGTATCTGACAGTTTTGTCAGCTTTTGTTAGGCATCAATGCAACTGGGCGTCGCTGCTGGCGTCGCTGTCGCTAGGTCGTTGCAGTGCAAACTGCAGTTGAAGGTGATTTAATAATGAGTGCGAACAATGCGCAGCTAACCGACGACCCGACGACACCCAAGCCCCCCCAAGCCCCAAACATCACTATCACTCATCTACGCCAGCCATATCCATCTCCACCTCTGTTGCCAACTATGTCTTCACCTCCATATTTGCCGCCCTTTAGCATGCCTCTCTCCCACTCTCTCTCTCCCCCCTCTCTCTCACCCCCCTCTCTCTCTGTCTCTCTCTCTCTCTCTCTCTCTCTCTCTCACCGTCTCTCATCAGTCTTGGCGTCTACGTCCCACGTTATTTTTGCATTTTTCTATCGCACGCTGCATTTTATTTGTTTTGCTGCTGCTGTTGCTGCTGATTCTTCTGCTTCTTTCTCTTGTTCATCATCATCATCATCTTGTTTCTCATTATTTATATTGTTGTCGCTGCGCTTATAAATAGACATCGTCGCCGTTAATTGCTTCGACAGTCGCTTTTCTTTATTTTTTATTTTATTTAATTGTTTTTTTTTTTTTTTTTTTTTTTTTTCTATAGCCTGTTTTCTTTTTTTTTAATTATAATTCATTACGTATCTGCATTTTATTTATTGGCTGCACTATTGCTGCCGTTGTTGTTGTTGTTGTTGTTGCTGTTTTATGCCTTTTAGCGCCACCTAGCGGCGATGTTGCGCATTCTTGCTGTTATTTTGCATTTAATTATTATTGTTTTTATTGCTGCTGTTGTTGTTGTTGGAGATTGCACTTGCTTATGAGCTTCGGCATAGAGGTAGGTCGGCAGCAGCACTGAAAATGCTAAATTACGATCATATCTATATATTCATATACCTCTATTTGTATGCATACATACATTCATACATGTATACATATATCAGCGTATATCCTATATATATATATATATAACTTGACTTTTGCTTGAAATCATATTATATCTAGTGATGACACGATTTATCATATGATACACAATAATCGATTATTGTGCTGTCATTGGCGATTTAATGATATCTTTCGAAGTTATTGTTTCTGAATTCAAGATTTAATAAATAAATAATAACATTTATTTTTGAGCAAGAAAAAAATTAAATAAAATCATTTGATTAATGATTAATCGATTAGTTGAAATTAATATTCACGTAGCTTCAATTTATCATATGATTCAAAAATCGATTAATAATTGTTTTTTGC